GGGGGGGGGGGGGGGGAGTGGGTCCAAATTTCTACCCCTAAACACTTCCACACTCTTTTAGATCGTGTTTCACAAAAAGACAAACAAGGAATCATTTGATTTAATCATAGAAAGTAAAATCTCATAGACTAAAGTTTTTGCATGTACCATATAATTAGAATGCAAGAGCACATTAAGTATATTTTCAAAAAAAATAATGTTCAAGGCTTATTGAAACTTTATAATAGTTTTCACTTCCGAAAACATAAACAACCTTTAGATGAGAATGGAAAAGAAAAATTCTAAAGAGATTTCTCATTGAGTTTTGACATGATTATTCGATAGGAAAAGTTAGGTTCTTTCGATCTATGCAAAGCCGATGTTTCTATCTTATTTCTTTCGAAAGTTATAAGAGTTTTCCTGAGACACCCGATTTTGGCTAATTGTCATTGGATAACCGAAGAATAGATCTGAAGAGGGGTGTCGATTGGGGATATTTATTTTCAGTCGCAAAATAATTTGAAATCACTATATTGAAATTTACACATTTCAAATTTTTCTGCTATGTATCGTAAAAAGGCGACATTTCAGAAATCTCGGTACAGTGGTTTCAAATTACCTTGCAACTGAAAATAAATATGACCATTCGACTCAGCATGGTCAATTACTCCTCACCAGACTTATTCTTCGGTTGTCCAATGACAATTAGTCAAAATCGTGGGTCTCAGGAAAACCCTTATAACTTTCGGTTGTAACCCTCTTCACCGAAAAGCATTTCGTCGAAAGACTCATAGGATGCTTTAGCCTGTTGCGTGCCCTTTAATTCTTATATAAGCTTGTTCAGCATGAAGAGGTCAACTCATTTTGCCCTCACCTTCACCTTTGGAGTGCCCTCTGTAGCCGAAAAGGACCTTCGCCGAAGAGCATATATACCGCCTATTCGATACTCACCAAACTAGCGTTACATTTGGAAAAGCCATATATATATATATATCATTTTAATGGAAATAAACGTCTCTTTACTCAAGATTATATATAGTTTTTTTTAAAAATTTTGGTGTTGGTATCTATCGTGTTAATTATCCTCAATCGATGCTTGATGCTTTAATACCAGGTATACAAGATCATACACTTTCTCCTCAAGATCGTTTTGGTATTCAAACAGATGTTTATGCATTAGCACGTTCTGGTCATATTAATTATGTTGATTATTTAAGATTACTTCGTCATGCATATAAACATGAAGATAATTTAACTGTTTGGAAATCTATATTAAAACAATTAACTGATCTTAATTCAATAATCGATTATGCTCATATTGATAATATAAAAAAATATTTTCAAACATATATATGTGATCTTTTATCAAATATTTATAATAAATTAGAATGGGATCCATTACCAAATGAAGGTTTACAAGCAGCTATGCTTCGCGATATAATATTAATACAAATGGGTATTAATGGACATAATAAAACACGTGAAGAAGCACATAAACGTTTTCAAATATTATTAAACAGTAATAATCAAAATCATCATTCAATTAATCCAAATATTCGTGCAGGAATTTATTTAACTGTTGCTAAAACAGGAAATCAAGAAATATTCGAACAACTTAAATCGGTAATATATCTAAATTTTTAAACATTTAGAACTCTCTATTTAATCAAGACTTCTTTTTTATGCAAAGATATTTGTATTAGAAGTTATGTTGACATTCAACGTTAAAAATATTTCTATGAAGTTTTATTTAAGTTTTTTATCATTTAATTAAGAATAGAAAAAAAAGTTCAAACTTTTTCTAAGAGTTCTTTTGAGTCTCATCGAATCCTTCCCATAAGTGAAATCTCTTACGAAACAGAACCACAGTTCATAATATTCCCAACACATGCACATATTATAATTTGAACGAAAAGAAACTTATCAAATGAAACCATAAATAAATTTATTGTATTTTTAGCTTTATCGTAAAGCTGATACACAAGAAGAAAGTATTCGTTTATTAACTGCACTTTGTCGTTTTGATGATGAAATGATTCAACGTCAAGCTCTTGAATATATTTGGAATAGAGTATAAAGATATTTTTTTTTCCTTATCTATTTGAAATATCTAGATAAATTTTTTCTTTTTTATAGAATGAAGTTCGAAAACAAGATCATTTAAAGGCATTTGTTTCATTAGCATCACATAATCGTAAAGGTTGTGAAATAACATGGAAATATATGCAAGATAATTGGAATAAAATTGAAGATATTTATGGTGAACATGATACACATTTAATTCATTTTGTTGAAGTAATAGAAAAAAAAAAAGATAATTTTTTAATAAATATGAAATTAATTTGAATATTATTTTAGCATGTACCAAGTCATTTTGTTACTGAAGAACGTGCAGAAGAAGTTCGAGTAAGTTTTTTTTTCTTTTTCAAAAGAAAAATTATACATTTAATTTCTTTTTTTTTTTGTTTTAGAAATTTCATATTGATCATCCAAATCCATTATTAGATAGACCAGTTAAAAAAGTTCTCGAACAAATCAATATTCGACGACTTGTTCTTGAACGTCATGAACATACTATTCATCAATTTCTTATTACTTAATAGAACTATATTTTTTTTATTCCTGCTTTTTTATAAATCATTTTTTGGTTTTATCTGTTATTTCTTTCTTCATTTAGATTAAAAAATAAAAAACAATATGAAGATATAATAATCCAGTAAACAAACATATTTTAAATACAAGTTATAATTCTAGATCAAATGTTAAAAGAATAGTCTGTATGGAATATGATAAGAACTGAATTGATTTTTTCTTTGTTCCAAAAATAAAAGCGAATTGTAAACTTTGTTTCATAACGTTTAATAGGATGTAGACAATGTCAAATGAAATCTACAAGTTTTTAGTTATATAAAAAATCTGATAAAAATTACTTGAATAATATAAAGTTGTTTATCGGCTTTCTGAAATCATTACTTGACCTTAACTAACATCAAAATAGTCTAAAAGGAGAACATTGTTTATTGGTCAATGTCAATATTAGTGAAACTTCATTAGAATCTTTACTGTGCAATACTTTTGAACAATAATTCACCAATTTCCATACAAGTAAAGCGATCGAAGTTTACCAATTCCTTTTAATTACAATAAACTCGAAAGCTAAGATGCAACGATCAATCATAATTTTGAATCAATGCCAAAGATCACCGATCTCTCGAAGGACTTGAAAAGCAGATTGTGACAACATGATTACAACTGTCAAAATGAATACTGAACGCGTGTGAGATAACAATATGTTGAACTCGAGTATTTGAGAAGTAAAATGCATCAAACACAAACACACTCCTATACATAAGATGAAATCTAGAAATCAGAATTTTTTTTGCCTCTTTTATAGTCAATTAATATATTCGTTTATTTTCGAATCATTATAAAAGATAAGAATACACTTTTGTCGATCTTATTATGAAGATCATAATGGTACATGTCCTATGAATGTAATTAATCATTCTATGTGTTTTTATGATGCTGTTTCTTTAAAAATAATAATAATCCATCCTAGTCTTGTTTCTTGGATCTTCAAGTATTTAGAACCAAAACGGGTATAAGAAGGTTGATAGTTGCGTGCATTACCAATTTCAACAATCCAACTTTTTCCATGAGTTTCATCAAGCCAATTTTTAATATCTTTAGCTATGTTCCGGATTTGTGAGGTTCCATGTGTATCAATTGCTGTACTGATCATGTTCAATATATCTACTCTCATTGCATCTGTAATTCCATTTCCTTGTTCTTCGATTTCCCATCTAGTCACCTTGATCGATTTTGAATTAAATTTATCTAGAATAATAACTCGATTTCTATTACTTAATTGTATTCTTGAAAATAAACACAAAAAAAAGAGATCAACAGGCAAGATTATTCATATGATATCGAAAATTAAATTTTCGATGTCATATTAATTGGTAAAGCGCTTTCGAGTGACATAATTGTCCTTTAAAATAATGGGAAATTTCTGTTTTTTTTTGTCATTGAGATGGTTAAAAGTCGTTTTAAACGTGATTCTGAGCTCGCTCGATATAGAATACATTTTAATGATGTGCTCCTTATAGAGTGAAACAGATCAGTTGTGTTTCAAGTTTTAGTCTCATAAGAATTACTCTGAAAGTTTTTCCTAACAAATCTTGTGAATCCAAAATGCACAAGTTCATCACTTACTGAATGGTGCATCTATGTTTTCCTATTTCATGCAGACAAGTATCGATTTTCTCAAGCCTGTTCTAATCCAGAGTGATATAGAAAGAAAGTTATTTATCATCAATCGATAGAAATTTCTGTACTCTGTACTTCCACAGTCTTTTCAAGGTTGCTGATGTTCTTGTTCAGGAGAAGAAGGCTTCAACCTAAAAGCTGGTGCTGTTTGACAATTTAATGTTTTCGAAAGTGAGAATTATCATATGAAATGTTGATTCTCATTCCATTGAATGCAGAATGTTCTCTTCGAACTGCTCATTAGGTCTGAAGATCGTCATATCATAGAAGACTACCCCAATTTTGGAGTATATTTTTACCGACTGGTCTTTTTTCATTCTTTTTTATTCTTTATGTTGTAGAACTCATTATAAAAATAGTGAATGTCAGTTTATATTCGAAAATTTTCTGCTCCTCTCATCTTAAAGCTCGCTCCCTCGCAAACAACGATGATTTTTAATGCACAGCATGAAGTGCAAACAGCCAAAGTTTTCTAGAGATCTTGTCTTTTACAATATCGCATTTTCGTTACCTATGACTATGATGCTCGATTGTTTCTTTTTGTCTCTATAGTATAAAATCTGTCAAATGACACTGCTTTTCTTCTAATTTCTACATGAAATGAGTAATTGGATTTGTTCGACAAAGAAAACAAGATATTTGTTCGAAAAGCTTGACCTGATTTCAAAAGTTGTCACGTATTTGATCCTGGCAATTATCATTTTCTCTAACCTTATTGGGATCGATGTAGATTTCTGCAGTAAAAACTGATACTTTCAATGTAAGCAGTGTAATTTGAGCTCGAGAGTCATCATTCAAGCTACATCTATGAGAAAATCGATTCATAAATTTAAGACAAAAAATGTTTTTTTTCCATTGAAAGTCCAAATATATATCTTTTTAGTTTTATCCAACCATCGAAGACTGATATTTTCTATATAATATACATATTCTGAAGTAACTAGTATTCTTTGTGCTAAAAGACTCCACCAAAATCTAAAAAATCGATTTTTGTCGTTTCTAAATGTAGCGATTGCATCTAAATTCTCCATAGCTCCGGTATTCGCTTAAAAATTAGTCTATTACTATACTTGAGATAGAAATGTTAAAACGTTCACTTCAGTATTCATTTATGTCTTCCCAAAAGACTCTCAATCTTGACACTATTCATCTTATCAGTTTTCATTGTAAGTTCTCGTGAATTGAACCTAGAGGAGGCAGTTGAAGCACTCTTGTACTCATCATTTCTTATGAGTAGCATATTAAAAATTCTATTAGCCCAAATTTTACACAATATATTCTAGAAGAAGAGAATTCAA